CAAAAGGCCAAAAGAGAAAAGGTGAAAAGTCCCTCCTAGCCATCTCGTTCCCCACCCAAGAGGCGACCACTGCTAATAGCTTTCTGTGTCTCTAAAGCCATTCTGTCTGTGTTGCTCAGTGGCTCTCACAGGGCCCGAGAGGAAAGAAATCAGGACAAGTCGGGGAAGAACTGTCAAAGGGCACAGGGCGGCAGCCACGAGGAGAGTGAGATGGGCTTGGGGAGGACAGGCAGGCATGGATATTCTGATAAAGATTCCCAGAGGACTTGGGTATAACCTGCTTTTCCAGCCTCCATCTACTGGTCTGGTTAGATAGGCAAGATATTTACATATCTAACCGGTATAGCAATACAAGAGTTAATGGAGATGAAGATTCAATTCCTAGTACAGCCCAAAGGTGCCCTCACCCAGAGGAGGGAGACAGCAGCTATGGATGCTGTGGTCATGTGGGCCACTGTAAAAGACCTGGGCTTCCCAGCTGTGACTTTGGTTACTGCCATCAACCTCTCTGAGGCTTTTTTTTTTTTTTTTTTAACTCTTCTGAAACCCTCAATTGAGAGTTTTAAATGTTTTTGTTTCATGAACTCCATTAGCAGTTGAAGAAACCCATGGGACCTCTTTAAATGCATATAATAAAATATATCAGGTTATACAGTAAACAAATTGCATTGGAGTTTGGCTGGTTTCTGCACTAGGTGGGCGCAGGAGAGCCCTGTTGCATGGTGATTTCTGTTCTGAGGAGGGCCAGGTGACCTTGAACTGTTCTGGGTCTGCACCGGAGAACTCTGTCCCCAGGGGACACCGGCTCTCCCCCTGGGGCTGCTTGGGGCCTGGTGGAGTTGACTCAGGGAGGAGATGGGGAAGAATTCCCTCCGGAGATTGCTTTTTCAGAGAGTCAAACGAACAATGCATTTTCCCTGACGTGTAGCTTCTCCTCTGTCCCCATGGGGCCTCTCCTAACTAAAGATGATTAAATTTGTCCAGCATTTGGTTTCCAAAAGGTGGCAGCACTGTCCTGGGAAACAGAATCCCAGTGACTTGGGTGGAAGTGTTTGCTGCTAGGTGGATGATGCCTGTGGTTCTCGCAGCCCTGCCTTGGTAGCCCAGGGAAGGATTCCCAGCAGCCTGCATGAGCTGTGGCTGTGTGACACTTATGTTTCTGGTCACCTGAATCCTGGCCTTGGAGACAGTCTCTGTCCCTGGGTGAGCTTCTGTTCCCACCCAGGACTCTCCTGCGCCCACCTAGTTCAGAAACCAGCCAAACACAGCGCTGCAGTGGGTCCACCCCACAGTGGCCTTTTGAAGGCAGCGACTCAGCAAGCGTCTCAGGAGTGCCCTGTCATCGGATATAGCAGGCAGTTGCCCGCCCGCCTGCGTAGACGGCTGCCCCTCTCTTTTGGTGTTTGAGGTGGGGGTTCTGGAGGGAGGTGGGCATTTTAAGCGGTGGAGTCTTGAGTGGTCTAGGCTGAGCTTTTTCTTTTCGAACAATTTCACATTGGCTAGGAGCAGTGTCAGGTGTTCAGTGGACTCTGTGTAGGGCAGGTAGGAGGGCTGCGATTTCCAATCCAGCAGAGTCACATCCGACTCCGAAAGGCGGCAGTTGTGGGGTCGTCACCAGGCGGTGATGCGTCTGACGTGTGTCTAGCTGGGAGGAGCCCATAGCTGTAAGTGAGGGCACAGACAGACGTTCAAGGATCTGCTAGAAGATAGAATTTTGAGCAATAGAAGGAAGAGACCACTGGAAAGGGAACAGTATGTTCTGACTGGTGGTTACAATGGCTTTTATCTTTAAAGTCTTTGCCTGTGGGACCAAGGCATGCAATCCTTTAGGAAGATCGCATCTGCTATGCACCCTTTTTTGATCCAAGCTGCGGATCCTCCATTTCCCCCGTCTTCCGTGTCTTCTGTCTTTCACACGTGGATGCACAAATACATATGTACACATTCATTCAAGCAAATAGAGGGGAAAACCCCACAAGTTTTATTTACTCATTTATTCCAGAAATATTTCCTGAGCTCTTCCTATACACTAGGCACTGATCCTGGCCCTGAGATATGCAGTCAATAGGATGGCACACTCGCCATCTCCACAGGGTTTATATTCTCCATGGGGGAGGCAGGCCAGGAGCAGATGAAGGAATGAGCTAGAAAAATATCCGATGGAAATGTGGTCTCCGGAGAAGTGATCTTAGGGTGTGATAGCATGATGGGGGTGCAGGGAACGCTTCCCCAAGGAGGTGACCAGTGAGTCAGTGAAATGTGGCTGTCAGGGAACGCGTGCCGAGGCCTCGGGGTGGGCACACAACTGGCGTTTTTAAGGCATAGTGAGAAGGCTGGAAGGTAAAGTCAACAGGGGGCAGGGCAGATCACACGGGGCCTGGGAGAGCAGTGGACATGGGATATAGCCATCCAAGGCTTTGAAGAAGGGAGTGATGTGGAAAAGTACCTCTGACTCAATTCAGTGCCCCATAATTCCCACGCAGGGCATACACTGTGGCTTTGTTTTGTGAGCCTCACAGAGGGACACGGGAAGGTGGGTGGAGCCAGCCAGTGTTTGTGTGGCATTTAACTCTGTGCTTGGCACACCGCAATGGCTCACTGCATGCGTCTCATCTAAACCCTGACGCAACCCCATGAGGAGGGGGGCCCTGTTACTAACAGTTCATCCACGAGGAAACCTAGGTGCAGAGGTGGTTCTTCACTGGGCTTGCCCAGTGGGACGGCAGAGCCGAGATCTGAACCCCAGGCCTGCAGGCTCCAAGGTCCCCGTTTCCCATTCCTTCCTGGAAATGGAGTCTCTGGGCAGCTTTGTGGTTGTTATCAGTCTATTTTTATCATGTGTGAGACACTGTTATAATTTGAATTTCCTTAACCAGTACTAAGATTGAACCCGTTTTTCCTACGTCTTATCTATTTTTTATTGTGGTAAAATAGATGAGACAAACATTTACTGTTGTAACCATTTTTAAGTGTAAAATTCAGTGGCATTAAATATATTCACCCTGTTGTGCCGTCATCTCTACTCTCCACTTCTAGAACTTCTTCATCACCTCAAATAGGAACTCTGCAGCCATCAGGCAGTGACTCTCCTTCTCCCGCCCTGCAGCCCCGGTAAACTCCAATCTGCTTTCTGTCATTATGAATTTGCCTATTCCAGATATTTCATATGAGGAACCATACAATCAATATTGTTCATTTGTCCCTGGAGTATGTCACTTGGCATAATGTCTTCAAGGTTCACCCATGTTGCAGCAGATGTCAGAACTTCACTTCTGTGTTTTTGGAGACGGAGTTTCGCTCTTGTTGCCCAGGCTGGAGTGCAGTGGCATCATCTTGGCTCACTGCAACCTCCACCTCCCAGGTTCTAGCGATTCTCCTGCCTCAGCCTCCTGGGTAGCTGGGACTACAGGCATGCGCCACTACGCCTGGCTAATTTTGTATTTTTAGTAGAGACAGGGTTTCTCCATGTGGGTCAGGCTGGTCTCGAACTCCTGACCTCAGGTGATCTGCCTGCCTTTGCCTCCCAAAGTGCTGGGATTACAGGCATAAGCCACTGTGCCCGGCCCAACTTCATACTTTTTATGGCTATATGATACCTCATTATATGACTATAGCATATTTTGTTTCTCCATTCATCTGTTGATGGATGTGCGAGTTGTTTCTACTCTGGGCAGGTGATTACACTGAGATGGGACTTTCCTAGCTACTCACGCCAGTTCCAGGGCTACTTTCTGAAGCCCAGAGAATCGGAGTCTGTCTAGGATGGGTGACCCAGCACGTGTGTGGTCAGGGATGGGTGCTGAGCTTTTCAAGGTAATTAACCTCTTAAAAAAATACCAGCATGGATACCATAATTTTTCTTGTGCTGTCACCAACTCTAATTTGGTTCTTTTCCTGTCCATTTCATAGAATCATAGCATTGTATGAGATCTCCAGAGAAGTTATTTCATCATTTGCTTCTAAGCATGAAATCACCTCCTGTAAATAAACATTTAGTCTGTTCTTGAAAGTTTGTAGAATTTTAAGTGGCTGGGTGGGAGCCCCAAATCTCTGCTGAGTGACTCTGGACAGGCCATGCATAACCAGCCTCAGTTTCCCCATGTGTAAAAAGACATCGAGCCCCTTCTAAGAGATGAAACATCTTTCCTAGACAGGTTAAGAAGTTTCCTCTTAGTTCAGATCTAATTTCCTTCTGGCTACTCGTACTTTAGGCCTATTCCTTTCTCCATGAGAAGCAATTGGTCACCATTCCTCCCATCATAATCCTGTGTTCCCTGGGCCACGGCTGTGATGTCTGACATCCCTCAGCTCTGATTAAAGAACAAAGTGGAGTTCCCAGGGCCTAAGGCACATGGATTCAGTTTCCTTCCTGGTTAGTTTTCTTTTCTTTTCCACTTTTTTTTTGTTTTGTTTTGTTTTGTTTTTGAGATGGAGTCTTGCTCTATTGCTCTGGCTGGAGTGCAATGGCACGATCTCAGTTCATTGTAACCTCCGCCTCCCAGGTTCAAGTGATTCTTGTGCCTCAGCCTCCTGAGTAGCTAGGATTACAGGCGTGCACCACCACGCCTGGCTAATTTTTGAATTTTTGGTAGAGACAGGGTTTCACCATGTTGGCCAGGCTGGTCTCGAACTCCTGATCTCAAGTAATCTGCCTGCCTCAGCCTCCCAAAGTGCTGGGATTACAGATGTGAGCCACCGCACCTGGCCCTAGTTGATTTTCTTTTCTTCTCCTTGACAACGGGTGCTGCTGTTTGACTGAAAGCCCCCTTCCCTCTAGCATCTAGCCTGGGCCGCCAGAGGCCCGGCAGCTCTGAGGTGGCCTCAAGAGAGTTTGGTTTATGCCTTTCCAGGTGACCTGTCCCCTCTTTCATCACCAGGAAATCAGCAAAGCCTCGCTGTCACCTGCTCACTCCTCAGCTGCCTGCTGTGCAAGAGGAAATTCACACGACCCCAGTGTCCCCTGAGGCACTAGGCCACTCACAGCCATTTTTCTTTTTCAGAACAATAAATCTGAGAAACCCTGTGCTCCAGCAGGTGCTGGAGGGAAGGAATGAGGTCCTGTGTGTTTTGACACAGAAGATCACGACGGTGCAGAAGTGTGTGATCTCTGAGCACACGCAGGTCGAGGAGAAGTGTGGTGGCATCGTGGGCATCCAGACCAAGACGGTGCAGGTGCGTGCGGCTGGGCTGCCCTGTGGTCACGGCTGGGCAGTCATGGAGACCTTGGTCGGGGGCCTCTTTGGGTGGTGTCTTCATTAGTCAGGACTCTTTCTGTAGCAAGTTAACAGAAACCCAACTCACACTGGCTTAAACGAGCAAGAGTGTATTGGCTCGTGTAGCTGAAACACTTGGGGAAATTGGCTCCAGTCACTGCTGGATCCAGGCCTTGAGGATATAGGGAGCCACTTTCCGTGGGTCGATCCCCTCTCGGATGGGCTGTCCCTACGGTGCTGGCAGCTCCAGGCTTGCTTCTGATTTGCTGCAACTCCAGGTGTGAGGGGGCCTAGGACCCAGTCTCACCAGACCACCCCGGGATGTGTTCATTCCTGAATCAGGGCAGGGCCGCAGGCATTCGAATGGGCCAGGCAGGCCGGTGTCAGATGCTTTCCCTGTGGGCGGCAGATGTTTCCGCCAAGAAAAATGGACACCAGGCACTGACCAGGCCAAATGCAAGAGAATCCCTAGAGCCTCTCAGAGCCGGGGCTCTCACAGTGATTACTTGGAATTAGCTGCTACAAATCCTTTGTGGGTTGAGTTAGGGCAGGTAAGATCTAGCTATCTCTACATAGATTCTTCTGGATTAAGTTATTGACAGTCTTACCAAGCTGATCCATGAGCCAGTACTAAACTTCAATGGACTAGGTGGCTGTCAACCCCAAACTCTTTCTCCTCCAGCTTGCCATGGTGGCTGATATTTTCTTAGAGATTGACTTCTTGGGATGACTTTTGGCTTTTTCTAAGGAACCCTGAAAGTTGTATTTGGAAGGAGCTGGAGGTAGAGGTCTGGGGCCAGCACTCTTGCTGGGGTGGGGCTGGATAGCAGCAGCGAGGGAGGTGCCGATGGAAGATGGCTCAGGCTGGCCCTGCCGGTGCTCCTGCCACAGTCACTTCCTGCCAGAGTTTTGGAGCCTTTGAGAGTCAGGAGGCCGGCTGCCATTTCTCTACCCAAAGCAACACACTCTGACCAGGATCAAGCTGCTAAGAAAAGTTCTCTGATTGCCAGTGTTTGGCCAACAAATAGATTCTCATCTTCCTCTCACCAGGACATCGTGGGAAGGGGTCCTGTTTGTGAGAGCATTTAAAGGCGGGAGCTTTGGTGCCTAACTTCTTGGCATTTCCTGCCTCTCCTCCCTGCAGCCTCTCCCCACTTCCGTCTCTGTTCCTGGTTTTATCAGCACTGTGCACCATCTACAGGGGTCCGGAGTGATATGCATGGGGCAGGGGGCCCTCTCAGCTGGGTTCTCCCAGTCCAACTTTGCTACTGTTTAAGGTTTTCATTAGGATTTCAGTTGTTTCCATTATCTGTGATGGAGGGAACTGGGAGGTGATCTTATGTATCGTATGATCTTTGCACAGCACTGTAGACCTAACTTCACTGTATCCCACACTCTGGAATCTCGCTTTGATGCCACCAAGTTGGCCATTTACTTGGGAATATGTGTAGTGATGCCAACAAAGATTGAATCCCCCATCCCCCATGCTGGCTGGCTCCTCTGTTCCACTCAGTTCTGTGGACATTGCTCAGCATCTGTTATGTGCAAGACATGAGGCTGGCTGCAGTGGGGAACAGAGCAGCAGGGAGAGCCCGAGTGCACAGGTGGGAGTGTGTGCGCTTTTGCCCACAGGTGTCAGCGACGGAGGATGGGAATGTCACCAAGGACTCCAGCGTGGTGCTGGAGATCCCAGCTGCCACCACCATTGCCTACGGTGTCATTGAGTTATACGTGAAACTGGACGGCCAGTTCGGTGAGTGCCACCTCCTATGGTGCTGAGGGATCCCCAGCGGAGGGACTCGACTGCTTTGCAGAGGACTCGACTGCTTTGGAGACTGTGGGAAGAGAGGGAAAGAGGTCTGAAGAGGACAGACTGTCCCATGACATGGTCCCTGGACATGTGGGCTGTACTAGGGGAGAGGCGTGGTGAGGGATGCCTGGAGCAATGCCACCCTCTCCCCCAGCATTGGTGTGGGGTGAGTTCCACCAGCATGGTAGAGGGCTGGGCTGTGCCCTCTGGGCATCAACCTGGGCTCTGCGTCAGACACACTGGGCATCAACCCTGGTGCCATGATGTCCTGCGAGGTCTCAGGCAAGTTGCTGAATCTTGCTGAGTCTTGGCTTCCCCGTCCCTGGAAGGTGAAGGGCATTTCTTCACAGGGCTGTGTGAAGATTTAATGAGATGAGGCCTATGAAGCGCCTGGCACAGTGGCCATTTATTAACTCCTCCACCTTTGCTATTAATAGCATTATCACTATTATTGTTATCTCACCTCCTTTCCCCAAGTACGAAGCCAGACATGCTGAACTTGACTTTCCTCTGCTGATCACGAGTGTGTTCAAAGCGCGGAGACCTTGCCGTTGTCAGGGAAGAAATTCCAAGCTTCGGTTCAATGAGTGTCTGCTCATTTTAGGTGCTCACAGCCCCTTCCCTCCTCATGTTCCCAATGAGAAGAGGTTGTGTTCACTCATGAAAGCAGTGTGACCGCTCCTTAGGGACATAAGTGGGTAAATGTAACATAATAAATCGTGAAGTTTTTTAGGTATGACAATGGTATTATAGTTATATTTATAAAAATGAGTCATCCTGTCTTTGAGAGATGTACACTGAAACATTCACGAATGAAATGGTAAGATGTCTGTGGTTTGCTTCAAAAATAATGTGAGTGGAGCATAAAGGGTGTGAGCGTGGGCAGCTGCTGAGGGAAGGAGGTGTGGCTGAGAGGGGACAGTGGCTGAAGCTGGCCGATGGGCACATGCTAGTTCACGCTCCTCCTCTCTATTCCTGTGCAGTTTGACATTTTCTGTAACAGCAGTTTTTAAAAGTGCCGTGATAGACCATGCACATGCCTGCTGCTGCCTCCCGCTCCTCCCCCATTTGTGGAAGGGGGGGCAGTCTCCCGCGAGACAGCTCCTGCCCTCGCTAAGCCCACACGAGTCACGATGCCATTCAGCGACCACTAGAGGGACTCGAACAGAGCGCTTAGTGTCCTCCTGTGCTGCTGTCCACAAGCTGAAGGGTGTTTGAGGATCCCTAGGAGAAACAGGCGAGGCACAGAAAGAGTGCACGGAGCCTCCCTCTCTCATTCTGCAAATGAAGCAGCCTGCATTTTAGGGTGGTGAAATGATTTATCTAAGGTGACAGAAAGAGAAAGTGTCAGTTTGAAGCAATTGGTCAAAGACGTCGGTCAGGGACCAAGAAATGCTGAGAATACCTTCCTTGAGGCCCACAGTTCCAAATTTGTGTCCTCTGGGGCATTTTCCTTATTATTGTCATCTTACTCTTTCTCTTTGAAAAGACTTGTCTTCCAAAAAAATTGCATCATGAAGATGATCAAATTGTTCTTCTAGTCTCTGTTATCTGTATGTGGTAAGTAGGGTCACCACCTGCACTTTTGGGGTTCTAGCCCCCTTACGTCTGCCTTGGTGGTCCTGTTCAGTCTTACTGATGGCCAGCGGTGAATGTGTCACTTCCCCGTAGCTTACTGAGGTATGATTGACACACAAAAACTATGTATGTTTAAGATGTCCAAGCGATGATTCAATAGACATGGACATTGTGACGGGATTACTACTGAGTCAAGCTAATGAACACATCCATCACCCAGCATAGTTACCCTTTGCATGTGTGTGGTGAGGACACTTATTGTCCACCCTCTCAGCAAGTCTCAAGTAAACACTGCAGTACTATTGGCTACAATCACCAGGCTAAATCCCCAGAACTTACCAGCTTACAACTGGAGGTTTGCATGCTTTGACATCTCCCCATTTCTCCCAGAGCCTAGTGCCTGGCAACCACCATTCTATCCCCTGCTTCTGTGAGTTCAGCTTTTTTCAGTTCCATGTACAAGAAAGACCATGTAGTATGCGTCTTTCTGTGCCTGGGTGATTTCACTTAGCATACTGTCCTCTGGGTTCATCCAGGTTGGCACAAATGACAGGCTTTCCTTTTTTTTCGTGGCCAAAGAGTATTCCATTGTGCCAATACATCCTTTTCTTTATCTATTCGTCCATCAACAGGCAGTTATGTTATTTCTGTATCTTGGCTATAGTGAAGGATGTGTCACTTCTGTAAGGCCTTCTGAAATCTTGGTACACACCTGAGGATGCCCATGAATGCTCTGCGGACCCTTCGGTGGCGGGGACCCAGACCTGGGCTGCCACTCTAGGCGGTGGTCCCCATGCGAGCTTCCTCCTGTTTGTCCCAGGAGGTGACCAGACCCTGCCCTGACGCAGCTCTGTCGGGGTGGCCTTTCTTTCTCAGATGGGGTTTGAAAGACACAGCCTTGTCTGGCAGGGCTCTCCTGTTTGCATTTCAATTTCAGGCTTTTATCTTTTCCAGCTTCCGTTGTCTTTGAAAATAAACTCCTCTTTGTGCTGCTGAGAAGAGGTACCCTGGGGATATCTCGGCCTTCCCTTGGCTCGTTCCCTGCTCTGGCCTAGGAGGCAGCTCCGTGGCTCCTTCCTATGACAGCTTGGTGGTCAGGCGATCGTTCTGGGTGACTCACTGCCTGATTTTAAACCAGTTCTGCTATTTCTTTTCTTTTTTTGCCCATCTATTTCCTGTTGCTTTTGCTACAGAATGTTCTGATACAGCTTCATAGACATAAACCTGCAGTGCTTGGAAGGGCCCTTGAGAAGACATGCCTGCCCTCTCTCCCTACCTTCCTGGTGGGATTGCATTTGACAGGGATCCTGGTCGTCTTTTGAAAACTCGAAGGGAGGCAGACTCCATCTGCATCCTGGCCAGGTGCTTCAGCCATGCCAGCTGCAACGAGACCCCTTCCTTCACCCACATCTCCCCTCTCGGGAGACACTTGCGCCCAATCAGAAACACCCTTTCATCCTCTTGACCTTCCGCCTTGCATTTTTATACATCTTGGCATTTGCTGGTGTCCTTCAGCACCAACTTCCAATTGAATGCCTTGTGGGCATGAACCTGTGTTTCCCACGCTGCACCTGAATCTGTGCACATCTCCCCACTGGCCCTAACACCATCTCCTTGCTTCCCCACCTCGCTTTCCTTAAAGACAGGGCCTTGCTCTGTGACCGAGGCTAGAGTACAGTGGCGGGATAATAGCTCACTGCAACCTTGAACTCTGGGCTCAAGCAGTCTTCCCACCTTGGCCTCCCAAGCAGCCGGGACTGCAGGGGCTCTGCCACAGACTCGCAACTGGCTACTCTGATTATTTCCTGTTTCATCCTAGCAGTGTAGCTAATGGGATTGTTTTAAAATTGATCACTTCACTCACCTGCTCAGAGACCCTTCTGTGGCTCTCTGTCCTAAGAATGCAGTCTGCACCATGTCACACCTTATGGGCCAGCCCAGCATGGGTCTCATGCCTTCCCTCTGGTCACAGCGCCACTTGCCCCGTGATCTCACTGAGGTCTGGGGCATACCACGCCCTCTCCCACCCCCAGGCCTGCTGCGCCTCTCTCTGGGCATGCTCTCTGCCTCTTTTGCTCCTGCCCAACCATCAGATGGCTTTTCTGGTTCTCCTTCCCTGTGATGGGGTTCAGGACATGCAACCCTAAGATATTTTAAAGTGAAGGAATTTGAAAAGATGACAGAAGCAGGAAGGTCACTGTGACCTTCCCCTCACCCTTCTCCCTGTAGCAGGTCATGAAACTTCGGAAGGGTTTTCCAACCTTCCCCTGACACAGGTTACAGACCCTCAGCGGAGAGGTGCCCTCGCTCTGCCTGGAGGAAAGAAGCAGCCGTGTCTCCAGACACAGGACACAGAGAGGTGAAGAGACAGGCCTTGCTGAGTTCCCAGATGAATGGCCTTTCCATCATATGCTCTGCCCTGCCACATTTCTCCACCACTGTCCCTCAAACCTAGCGTAAAAGTACTCAGCTTTAACTATTTCTTCACATGTTCATTTCTTATGAAGGCTTCCATGTCATGTAAAACTGCTATTCAGTAAACTTGCATGCTTTTCTCGATTTTTTTTTTTTTTTTTTTAGACAGAGTTGCACTCTTGTTGCCCAGGCTGGAGTACAATGGCACGATCTTGGCTTACTGCAACCTCTGCCTTCTGGGTTCAAGCGCTTCTCCTGCCTCAGCCTCCCGAGTAGCTGGGATTACAGGCGTTCACCACCACCCCAGCTAATTTTGTATTTTTAGTAAAGACGGGTTTTCTCCATGTTGGTCAGGCTGGTCTCGAACTCCCGACCTCAGGTGATCCACCTGCCTCGGGCTCCCAGTGTTGGGATTATAGGTGTGAGCCACCGTGCCTGGCCTCTCTTGTTAATCTGTCTGTTGTGATAGCGACCTCAGTCTTGAACCTAGCGTGAGCAGAAGGGAAGACGTTTTTCCTCCCCTCCACCCGCTGGCCACTCTGGCCTCAGCCCTGGTCAACCCGTCCCCACTCTTAACCACACTCATCGTCAAGGCCTGGTTTGTAGTCCTTTGTATCTGTGGCTGTGAGCACAGGGCCTGGTATAGGGGATTTTAAAGATTTACATTGTTGCATATTTGCTGGCTGGCTGGGGATGGATAGATGAAAAGAATGAATGAATTGGTAGCGTCCTCAGGAGCTGTGCATGGATGAAGGTGAGAGTGTGGTTGGCGCTGTGGATTCTTAAAATGCCAGTTGGTTCCACGTTATTTTGGGGACCTGGCAGGGCTTCTGGCAGAATCTGAGGCTGTGTGAATGGTCAAGGCTCCTGCCCTCAGGGAACAAAGTTATGACTTAGGTGCTGGTTCACACTCTGCACCCCAGTGGCTAAGTGCAAAGTGTGGAGGAGCAGGGGCACCCTGAATGCTAGTGAGTGTGGGCCAGTTGGGTAAAGCCAGGGATTGTTTCCTTTGTCTTTAGACGGCCATTCTTCTTTTCTTTTCCATTCTGTCTTTATGAGCATCATTAATGCCCACAAGCAAATGAAAATATGTGCTAATACTCATGCCTTCTACATTTCAGCAAATACGGTGCCCTGCCACATTTTTATTCCATAGCCTTTGCTTACGTACACAAGTTAGTAAATAGAATCATATAGAAAACCCTAATTCTTGAGCTCACTTACTGTTTCTGCTTAGTAAGGACATACTAAATTACATTTTTATCTACACCTTAGATACCTTAGCTGGGTTCTCAAATTTGGAAGTGTTTGAGAAAACATTTCTTTGCTTTTTTTTTTTTTTTTGAGACAGGGTCTCGCTCTGTTGCCCAGGCTGGAGTGTGGTGGTGCGATCTTGGCTCACTGCAACCTCCGCCTCCAGGCCTCAAAGGATCCTCCTACCTTAGCCTCCAGAGTAGCTAGGATTACAGGCGTGCGTGACCACGCCCAGCTTATTTTAAATTTTTTTGTAGAGACGGGGTCTCGCTATGTTGCTGCTCTCAAACTCCTGAGCTCAAGCAGTCTGCCTGCCTCAGCCTCCCAAAGTGTTGGCATTACAGGCGTGAGCCACCATGCCTGGCCCTTTTTATTATTTAAAAAACTTTATTGCCTAGAGCGGTGGCTCACACCTGTAATCCCAGCAATTTGGGAGGCTAAGGCAGGTGGATCACTTGAGGTCAGCCTGGCCAACATGGTGAAACCCCCCGTCTCTACTAAAAATACAAAAATTAGCCAGGTGTGGTGGCAGGCGCCTATAATACCAGCTACTCGGGAGAGTGAGAGAGGAGAATCGCTTGGACCCAGGAAACGGAGATTGTAGTAAGCCGAGATTGCACCACTGCACTCCAGCCTGGATGACAGAGCAAGACTCCTCAAAAAAACAAAAAACCACCAAAACAAAAAAACCTTTTTATTATGGACATTTCCCACATGTTCAAAAGTAGAGATAATAAGGTAGTGAGCTCCCATGTGCCCACCATCCAGCTTCAGTGACTAGGGCAATTCATGTTTTAGCCATAACTTCACCATCTCCTTCCTCTCCTGCTGGATTATTTTGAAGCAAATCCTAGGCATTATATTGTTTCATCTATAAATATTTTAGTACCTTGAAATATGGCTTTTGAAAAAAGACTAGTTTTGCCTTCATAGAAATAGATTCATAGAGAATGTATTCTTTTGTGTTTGCCATTTTTCACTCAACATGTTTGTGAAATTCATTCATGTAACTGCAGACATCAGTATTTCACTTTTTATTGCTGTGTATTATTCCATGTATTCATACAGAAACACTGATTTCTTAAAAACATACTCATATAACTACTTGGCCACCTAAATGTATTGGCAATAATTTTTAAATATGATCAGTGTTCAGATTTTCCTAGTTGTTTTATGCATGTCAGGTTTCATTTGTCTGTTTAGAATCAGTTTGTTCAAATCAGGATAAAATAATATTTCCAATGTTTTAAGGATTGCATCTGGCCTGTTCACAGACTATGTATTAGGGAGCTTTATGTAAGAACAGCCATTTCTCTATTTGTTGGAAATGGTTGGGCTTTTGGTCAAGCAACATAGTGTGTGTAGGGATCGAGTTTTATGGGGAAGATGGATGGGTCTTCTGCTGCACTCTAAGTTAGGTCTAAGGTGTGCCATCAAGGCTGGGCTGACCCTGTCCAGACTTGTTGGCACATCTTAGACTCAACTTTACGTAACTTGTCCTCTTCTTCTGCCCTACAGAGTTCTGCCTTCTCCGAGGGAAACAAGGTGGCTTCGAGAACAAGAGGAGAATTGACTCTGTCTACCTGGACCCCCTGGTCTTTCGAGAGTTTGCATTCATAGACATGCCAGATGCTGCACATGGGATATCTTCCCAGGATGGACCATTAAGTGTTTTAAAGCAAGGTATTGCTAGTAGGGCAGGAGTGGACAGTTGGCCCATTGAGCTCTGTATCCCAAGAGGTGGTTTGGCCTTCAGCATCAGTGACCCCTCAGTGACTCACAGAAAACATGAGAAGAGAGGTGATGCCACCGAGGCCCAGTCCACTTGGCAGGACTCACCTCGGTTGGATCTTAGGGAGCCCCAGGTTGTGGGTGCTGTATTTTAGGAAGGGAGGGGAGAATGACCCTCCACGGGGCAGGGGTTGGAGACTGAGGTAGTCAGGGGCTTGGCATTTTTCTTTCATTGTAAGCACAGAAGCCCTGTTGACTACTAAGAATAGCTCATCAGCTGTGAGGATGGAGAACCCAAGTTTTGCATCTGTTTTGTTATATTCTGGGCTTCATTGTCAAGACAAGCAACGCTTTGTCAGCCTTGCAAAATGCTCTCTTGGAGGCTCTTTGTCCACATGGCATGGGCTGCATGGCGCCAAAGAGGAAGAGGGGCCATGCCCAGGATGTGCCTGCAGCAATTCCTTTTGCTCCTCACAGCGTATGGTGCTTTAGAAAGCTGGTTTCTTTTGTGGGGGGTGTGGGGGCGCAGCGTACAGGAGGAGATAGGCAAGGAAAAGGGGACACAAATAGGTGAGAGCTTAGCACAAAGAGCTAGGAACCGCTCAAGTTAGGGTTAGGGTTAGGGTCGCTCTGGCTTGGAGGGTAAGCACAGAAGCCCTGGTGACTACATCCGTGGAGCTTTGATGAGTCCCAAACCAGGGGATGCTTTTGTAGCAAAAATGTCAATATTTGAAGAAAAGACAACAAAGGCCCAATTTTAACATAAGGCTTTCCTATCCTGGCTTCCTTGAGATGGATAAGTGGGTACAATTTTCAGCTGCCACTTAAAGGATTTTGTCATTGTGGGTTAGAACCACAACACAGTGGCCCTACAGCCACTGGGAGCAGAAGGCAGTCCCGTGCTGCAGCTTCCTTCTGTCCTGCCCACAGGCCCACCCTTTGAGTTGGCCTTTCTGGTCAGCCAGGGTGCAGTGGGAGCTGGATGTGCCAGACAGGAGGAGGGTGGGGGCTGCCTGGTCTTTGTACCCTCAGAGACTGGACCGACCAGGACAGCTTCTGTCTTCAGGCTGGGACTGGCAAAGACATAGTTGTTTGTATAGCAGAGTTTTCAAATATGTTGGTTACTGACGTTCTGTGTTCCTCTGTGTGGGGCTTTATACAACTGCTAGTTGGAATTCTCCATCCTCATGGGTGGTACACTGATGTATTAGTGTGCATCCCTGCATATGAAACCTTTATCAAATCTTTAAAAATAAAATCTCCACTAGACTTAATTTACAGGAAGCTTGAGTATCTTACCCCCTCCCCAAAACAAAAAACAAAACAAAAAAAAACACCAAAAAAAGAAGAAAGGAAAAGAGATTCTAAGGAGAGAGGCCCCTAAGCATCCTGCAGAGGCAACAGCTTTGGGGACTCAGTGCTCAGCTTGAGGACTTGTGAAGCAGCACAGGATAGAAAAAGAATAGCTGTGCTTGCGATGAAAATAGGGTGCCAGCCCTTTTAAAAGTGGGCATTAAATATTAAAGGATAGAAAATCTGCAATGTACTACAAGAAAGGACATGAAAAATAATGTATTTTGGAATTTGTATGGCTCTAAAGCATTGTAAAAGCACTGACTTATGTTTAGTAATTCAGCTTTGATAATTTACTTCTAGAGAAATCATGCTAAAGAGGAATTTAAATGACTTTTCCAGAAAATAATTGATTAGACTTAATGTTTAGTGAGTCATCAGAGAAGAGTGAAGCTTGAAATACAAAACTTGGCTTCCCTCTCTCTCCTCCCTCCCTCCCTTTGGTTATTGAAAAATATGCAGGGTGGTGTGTAACTTGATGTTTATTTCTGAGTTCCATGACTGGCAATGCAGCTGGGAATATCCATGAAAGAACTGATGATTAGCTATAAAAAGCAGGAACTGCTGTCCGATGTCGTGAGATGTGCATCGTGGTCATGAGACTTGGGTGTGCTTTCTTATCAGTGACCCCGCTCCTGGAGAGGAATTTCCATCCCTTTGTGGAGCTGCCTGAGCCACAACAGACAGCTTTGAGTGACATCTTCCAGGCAGTCCTGTTTGATGATGAACTACTCATGGTCCTGGAACCAGTGGTGAGCCCCGGGACATCTCAAGGCAGTGTTTTCACCAGGGTTTTCTGGAACAGGGGATGGGCTAGACCTCCTGGGGCAAGGCATTGCGGCAGGATGGAATTGTGTTAAAGGTTCCCCCACCTCCTTTTCTCCCTACAGCTGTCTCTTTTCTGACTCTTGGGTCCTGCGTTTTCTAAGTGCAGACAGGTAGTTGGCCTCAGGGGTAGAGGGAGGGAGGTGTTAGTTTCCTAGGGCTGCCTCAACAAAACTGAGGGCTTAAAAAACCAGCAATTTATTCTCATCGTTCTGGAGCCTGGAAGTCCAAAATCTAGGTGTCTGCAGGGCCACACTTCCCCCAGAGGATCTAGGAGAGAATTCTGCCTTGTCTCCTCCAGCTGCAGATGGCTCCTAGTGTTCTTGGCTTCAGGCAGCAGCACTCCAGCCTCTGCTCTGTCTCCACATGGGCTTCCCCTCTGTGTGTTTCTGTGTCTTCTCCTTTACTGTCTGTTATAAAGACACCATCATTGGATTTAGGGTCCACCCTAATCTAGGATGATCTCATTTGGATTTCCTTACTTTAATTACATCTGCAAAGACTAAGGTTCCAGGTAACATATGCTGGGGGCCGCTACTCAGACCACTGCAGGGGGTTGTGTGGTAGAATCTAGCAAGTCAACCTGTTTCATTTAGAACAGAGAAATAGGCTTTTGCACTGTTCTGTTTTGCAGCAGAAGGATATCCGGGAGGTCAGATTCCTTAAGTCAACTCTTAGTTGTGCAAATGCTGAGAGCCACACAAGCTGCCAACCCTCCAGCCACCCAGATTCTGCGTCCTCCCTTTCTTAAGGCTGAGGCTTTATAAATCTGATTTTGACTCTAGTTTTGTTTTTTGTTCTTTTGTTTTTCTATTCTATTATGCAGGGAGTTTGAAGAACTGATTTAATGCTTTATGGTTTCCAGGGGAGTGTTCATATTATTTTTCCTTCTTGAAATGAGATTGTGCCGAAAGAGCCTGGGTATCAGTGATGGAACCTGTTACTGAAACAGCCCCACGGACCAGGATATTTGCATTCTAGAGGGTGGGGAGCTCAGTTCCAGGCAGAACAGTTTCAAAAAGCCCACTGACTTCTACTTCCAAAAATAACTTCTTCCAAGAGCAAAATGTCAGGCCAGCACCCTGTGGAGAGAGCCTCAGCTGCCCTGTCAGATGCTGGAGAAGCAAGCTGTCTGGATGGTGGCGAGGGTGGGGTCCAGCTTTCAGATGACCGGCTCTGGACACCAAGGCTGTGGGTGGTGCAGAATTGGCAGGGTGGTCCTAGCTAACTGGCTCTCCAGCAGGATCGCCTCACTACACAGCAGGCCCTGTGGAGGCAGACGCAGCTGCCCAGTGCCCGGTGGGAACGTGGCCGGGGGCTGGAGCGCCTAGCTTAACACTTGAGAACCAAGACAGGACAATGCTTATACATCGCCCTCCCCAGTTGTGTGTGTAACCACTTGTTTCTGGTCCCTGGCACTACCTGACAGACCCTGCCCTAGAAGGTTCTAGGCCACAGTTCCAGCAAGTACCCACCCACCCTCGCGAGCCAGGTTCAGCTTACTGTCCCTTCAGTGAAATGTAGCCCCACGGATGAGCAATTTCAGAATGTAGAGAAGAGCTGCGGGTGGTACTTTCCTTGGGGGACGGGTGTAAGGGCCGGGGCTTGTGTGTGCTGTGAGGAGAGGCCCCCGCTGTGACGCTTGATCTCCAGCTGTCATGACCATCCCCCTTCTTCTCCCCTGCCCTACAGTGTGATGACCTGGTCAGCGGCCTCTCGCCCCCAATGGCGGTGCTGGGGGAGCTGAAGCTCCAGCAGCAGCAGGACCTTGAGGCCTTCCTGCAGCTAGTGGGGTGCAGCTTACAGGGTGGGTGTCCAGGCCCCGAGGACACAGGCAGCAAGCAGCTCTTTATGACAGCCTACTTCCTGGTCAGTGCCCTCTCAGGTAAGGAGAAAAGGAGAAAATAAGAAAATGAAAGAAATGGCTGCTGCTGGCTTTAAAATGCTTTGCCTACTATCTATGCTCCTGGGGACACAGGGTGGTAACTGTGGAAGATCTGGTACATACAGGTCTCTCCCTTCCGGGACAGGGAGGATAAGAGGCAGGAGGCTGATGGGAAACCACAGACTCGAGAGCCTTTCCATCCAGCACAAGCCTCCCCACTCTCCCGGAGGGCCCTTCTCCCTCCTCCCCCAGGGAAGGCCACAGTGGGTGACCCCTTGCCAACAAAAACAAGCATCTCCCTGACAGGCTGTGGTTCACACTGGAGTCCCAGCAGAGCTGAGTGGCAGCGGCTTTCATTTGGCAACTGCTCTCCTCGAACATTTCAGTCCTTCTGATCTTCTTTGCAAACTTGTTATTCCCCACCCAGCGTGCCCCTGTCTGGGGCAAGGGGGCCACAGAGAGCATCCAACCATCCAATGTACTAGGCTGGGAGGCAGAGCTGTGGCTGGGCCCAGATCCATAGCTTCTGCACTGGTCCTGAAATGGCCTCCCAAGGGAGCAGCCATCCAGTTACTGTGGAACAATCTCTGCCACCTCTGTACCACTCCCATCAGGAACCTGCTATGCCAGAGCGCCTGTCAGGAGATGGGCATCCTTCACAAGGAAGCTGGGCTTCCTGTTCCCTCTCAGAAAAGCCAGTTGTGGCAAACCAGTCCCCACAGCTTCCCTTCATGGTGACACTAGTCAGGACACTTGGTTTCTGATACATTCAGGGTTCCTCCCCAGCACCACACAGAAACAGACCCAGTAATCTTCAGTTTTTAAAGAATTCATATACCCCATTACTTACTGCAGCATTTCTATCAATAGGCTGGATCAGTGATGCCAAGTAGGTAACACAGGGCCAGCATCATGAATGCACCACAGTCCCCTTCTACTTGAGCCTAGACACAGCATCAAATTCTCTGCAACTGGCTGGGTGTCGTGGCCCACATCTGCAATCCTAGCGTTTTGGGAGGCTGAGGTAGGAGGATCACTTGAGCCCAGGAATTCGAGACCAGCCTAGGCAACATGGCAAGACCTCATCTGTACAAAAGATAAATTAGCCAGGCAGGGTGGTGTGTATCTCTGTAGTCCCAGCTACTTGAGAGGCTGTGGAGGATCGCTTGAGCCCAGGAATTCAAGGCTGCAGTGAACTATGATCATGCCACTGCAGTCCAACTTGAAAAAAAATCTCTGCAAGTTTGCACACAGGCAGCAGGCTACTCAGTTGACACATGATATGAGACTGACTTGCTGTTTCTGAATTGGAAACTCAAAGGTAGTGAAATCTTTAGGTGCAGCTGGCAGTCTCTAAATTTTTCAACCAATCCTGCTCTTTTTTATTTCTCTGAACTGTGATCTCATTTGTATGTCAGTCCCAGCGGAGGCCAGGCTGGCATAGAGCCCTTCCATTTGTGCTTTTGCTAATCCTCAGCCCTTCTGAGTTGATTTTTTTTCCCTCTTAGTATAATCTTCTCTCCTTAGAAACCGAGGAAAGTGCTAGAATAGAAAATAGGGTGGTCTTAGGTCCTCACACCAGTTTCTGGCTAATAGCTGTTTTTAGCACTTCAGTCCCACATGTGACCTGTTTCCTGGGAAGCTTCCTCCACCACTTCGTAACCTTAAGCAAGTCAAAAGGTCTGAACTCCTTGGACCCTATTTGTAAAACAGAATTGGTATATGGAAGAGCAATCAAAATAATTTCAGTTCAAGAAACATTTAACAAGGTTAGACTATGTTTTAGGCACTGCTAGATAAATATCAAATCTTGGCCCTCCAGGAAATCAGAGTCAAGTAGTAAAATTGGTGGGTAAGCTTGCTAACTTAGATGCTGTTCTTTCATTCCTGTGCACCTAGCACCTAGTGTACCATGCTCAAGATAACGGCTAAATGAGTAATATGGGACTCAGGTATTTCCAAGAGTAAGGGATGAGGATGATGGCTACCTGGGTCCCCGGAGCCATCCTAGAAAGTGAAGGCAGGGCAGCAATGGCAGATGAGATGGCTGGGGACAGAGGCTCAGCTGGATACGCTAGGCCACATAGCTTTCCGTCTTCATCTTCCTGCTTTGGGGTAAGAGACTACTTGAGAAACTGTGGATTTTCTCTTCAGACAAATGCACACACATTTTGAATACCACATTAGGTTCTCTGGCAGGAGTATCCCCCTAGGTGCTGCCCCACACCCTTAGTAGCCTACACTCTCTCTTGAGAATGAGCCATGGTCCGTTGTACCCTCTGGGTCACACCTCAACAACACATTGCCTTTTTTAGGCTGCTAATACATGGTGGGAACAACTGAGTTCCTAACCAGTCCCTCAGCTTCCTGACTCAGCAGGTGACTCATTCTTTTTTGCCTTTTCAGCTCAAAGCTTGTACCCCCAAGGGATTGTGGTCCTTTTAGGAACTCTGGGAGGTGTTTAATATCCACTTTGAGTAACACTGACTTGGTATTCCGTTCCCTGGGGCTTGGCAAGGGCCCCTCTGGTGCAGCCCCTAGCCTGGCACAGCTCTGCTCCAACCTTTGTACTGTTGCCAGACTGCATTTTCCTCCCCAAAATGATTGGTGACAGGGATAGAGCCCTTTATAGTTTACACAGTACTCTGACATATGCAAAAACAAAACAACTATGTAAATGAGGAAACTGAAGCTCATAGAGGTGTACCTGAGGCTGCAGCCTGAATGCACGGAGGGGCTCAAATGTCACTCTTCTGTCACCAGATGGCAGGGTCTACTTTTCCATGCTGATTCCTTTCTTTCCCCCAGTCTGGGCAGTTCTTTCCATTTGGTAAGTCGAATGTCAAGGAGTATCCTCTGTGGAATGCAGAGCTGGCAGCTGGGTTCCTACATCTGTTTTCTACAAGGTCTTTGCTGCCCATTTAGCACCGTTCATTCACTTACTCAACAACTGCTGAGTACCTCCCCTGCCTGGCTGGTGGGAAAGTACTAAAATATAAGTTAGGTGCCATCCAGGGGCTGGCTCTGTTCCCATGGACTTGTTTTTTTGGACTGTGGCTGTGATTTTTGTCTCCTGCAGAAATGCCAGATAATGCAGCAGCTCTGCTGGGCACTTGCTGCAAACTCCAGATCATTCCCACACTGTGCCACTTGGTAAGTAACCTCCCAGATGGGACCTTAGAATGGATGGGAATGGGGAAATGATGAGGGGGTAGACATCCAACAGCCGATAAAACACCTCTAGCACTTCTCATCCACAACAGCTCTTCAAGATAGATTAAATAACTATTGCTATTAACCCCACTTTTATACACATCCCACCCCCTGGGAAGACTGAGACCCCGAGGGAAACGATTTGTCCAAATAACTTGTTAGCAGGTCCAGGACTCCATCCTTGTCTTTAGACTCCAAATCTTATACTTTTCCCATTGTTTGGAGAGAATTTTGGCCAAGGTTTGGTGTTACATTACAATAAAGGGGCCTGACACCATATTATTTGCAATGGCAGTTTTGTGCTGAGACTGGTTTGATTGAGCTGTGCAGCAGATTCGCCAGGGAGGTATCCAGGACTGATCTGTCCCAGCGAGACATAGCTTCTTTCATCCACTTTTAGGAGTATCGTTAGCTTGGTGCCCTTTGGAAATGTCATTATAAGAGCATGAGTTAGGTAATGATGAGCTTAGCCCTAGAGAGTTAAGGTTAAGCTTTTCCTTTTTCAATTATAGATTGAGCCATTAGTAGAAAGAACCACCAATACGTTGCCCTGAAGCCACCCTGATGGGGTAGCTAGTCTTGTGTAGCTTTTGCAGATGTTGCTCAGCCTGGGGCAGAGGACCTGAGCACACATGGTCTGACTATTTTAAGGCCTAATTACTAAAGTCCAAGGCCAACCTGCTATGTTGGCCCAAAGGATCGTCTTTCAGAGCTCTGCTGTCAGATCTGGGAAGCAGGTATTGGGGCAGACTGCCTAGATAGGACCCTGACATTTGGTACACATCTACTCTGGGAACACCGAGTAATGTGGTTGGTGCCTTTGTGCATAACAAAGACATCAGAAGACTATGCAGCATGGCATCATTCCAAGGAGCAGATCAGGTATCACTCACAACTGAAAGCTTCCACAGGCCCAGAGGAACCTGCATTCTTGTACACTGACTGCAAAAATGGAACTACTTGAAAATGTGCCAGCATGTGTGTCCTGGGCCAGCTGAGGGTAAAGGCTGGTGGCACAGTCTGGTTATGGAAACAATACATGTCATTATTCTAATTGTACGCAGTGACGAGCAAAACAACAGCTCTGCTTTCAGATCTCAGCTCCTCTTGCAGCAACTGAATGCTCAGCATTTACTAAGTTAGTCCTTCCTAAGTATTTACAGACTCATCAACTGCAACTGAAGCAGGTAAAAAAGAAAATCCTGCCAAGCCCATGTTATCTAACCCCTTCTCTGACAAACTCAGACCTAGCTGTCCTCCTCCCTGCAGATCAGCTCTAGGACATTTGTGTTACCCCCCAAGTTCTGCTCTGTTGGTGTTTCAAGAGCAGCAGCCAGAACACATTTGGAGTTTAGAATGGAAGGTATTCTGCTTCTGCACATCCTGCCTTTTGGCAGCTGCTCAACATAGTCAAAGACCTTGCTGGGTGTCTTCACATACCTCCCCTCAGATTTGCAATAGCTCTATTTAAGACATCAAGGTGTCTGCCTCCTCAAGGAATTTGAGTGTCATATTTCTTTAAGGGATTTACTTAAAACAGGGCACAAAATCTATCTGCAGCCCTGTCTTTTCTTGTCTAGTAGCCAGGGTAACTTTGAGAGGCTTTCTGAAGGGCTTTTGGGAGTACAGTGCCAGATACATTAACACATTTCCAAGAACTGGTGAAAGGGTGAGTTAGAATCAATAGCGAATGTTAACTTCACTCCACCACCCTCTGGGTCACTGTTACCCCCTTATACCTACAAATGCCTGTGGGCAAAGGGGGTGGTAGATATTTAGAGAAGAAAGCTGGATGCTGCGCAGCTGTCATCCGCCAGGTGTAAGGACAGGGAGCCTGCAATGCTGTTGACAGTCTCCAGCCTGCACCAGTGGGGCTCCTCCTCAAATCACTGGGGTGTGATGCTGTGCTTACAGAGCAGGTCTAATCTACTCTCTAAAGCACAATCAGTAGTTTGCAGTCTGAGCCTAATGGTAACGTTAAGCCTGTGGTTACATTGTGTGAGTTGTATTTGGCAAATCTACAAGGTTCGTGAGGCTGATTTTGATAATAAACACACAAGTACTTTTACATTCCAGTGAGTGCTACCCTTCAGTCACCTGGACAAGCTGCACGACTTTCAGGATAGTCACCACTGCTCAGGACATTTCTGGAATGTTTTCTTTTGGATTCCCTTCAGATTTCTTAAAATTCAGGCATATTTTCTAGGCTTATTTCATTTTTAATTTGAAATTTTACTACTTATATTATAATCAGATCTTGAATGCCTGTTTCAAAATGAAATCTACTGGCAAATTTTTAATTGCTGAAGATTTTCTTAAAAGTATTACAGGCACGGATCAAGACCCTAAAAGCAAATCAAATATTTCAAGTATGTGCTGAGCAGGTGGAACTAGAGCAGCATCCAAAGTGACCTCGGTGAAGAACACATTGAGTGTCTGCGTCATAGGCACGGCAGACGAGGTCCCTGCTCTCACGAGCAGCTTAGGGTTAAATAAGGGAAGGTGACTAAGTTTATGGATACAACATAATGGAGTAACATAAGGCTGAGTTCTGGGGTTGGGGGTAGATCGATGGAAAGGGATTGGGAAAGACCCTCGATGTGGCATTTCAGCTGACAACTGAGTGACGAGAAAGGGAGATCAATAGGGAAGTTTGGAAGAAGGAATAGCAAGGGAAAAGGTTCTTGAGGCAGGAAGGATAATTATAAACTATGGTACCTACCTTTGAGGAGTTCATGCAAATATATAAGAAGTTCTGATATCTTCAGTGAATCAGAAACTTGGCATACTGCATATATGAGCAAAGTACATTCTGACGTTTCTAATGTACTGGAGTTAATGGAACTAGTAGAAAGTTCGGAGAGTAAGGATTCAGACAGAGGACACCAGGCAAACGGGATAGAATCAGGCCTGAATCAAATATATCATGTTACACCTCAAGGGTTTTCCTGCTGTATTTGGGTAATTTAAAAAGCGACATAGTTGGCCAGGCGTGGTGGCTCATGTCTGTAATCCCAGCACTTTGGGAGGCCAAGGCGGGCGGATCACCTGAGGTCAGGAGATTGAGACCAGCCTGGCCAACATGGTGAAACCCGTCTCTACTAAAAATACAAAAATTAGCTGGGCGTGGTAGCGCGCCTGTAGTTCCAGCTACTTGGGAGGCTGAGGCAAAAGAATCGCTTAAACCCGGGAGGTAGAGGTTGCAGTGAGCCGAGATTGTGCCACTGCACTCCAGCCTGGATGACAGAGGAAGACTCTGTCTCAAAAAAAAAAAAAAAAAAAAAAAAAAGACATAGTTTTTTCCCCCAGAATTACCTACAAGTGCATTACTATCCAATGTGGATTTTTAAAGAACATTTTTAAAGTGAATTTGTTTAAATATGTCATTTCAGCTTCGTGTTCTGTCTGATGATGGAGTATCTGATCTTGAAGACCCAACCCTGGCTCCCCTGAAAGATACAGAAAGGTTTGGGATCGTGCAGCGCTTGTTTGCCTCAGCTGATATTAGCCTGGAGAGACTGAAGTCGTCTGTGAAAGCTGTCATTCTGAAGGACTCTAAAGTCTTCCCACTACTTTGTATAGCCCTGAATGGACTCTGTGCTTTAGGCAGAGAACATTCATGATGTCATATGTGAACTAGAAGTACGTGTTATTGGCCAAGGCTGAGTATTTTTCAGAATTGTTAAAGGTCACATGCACGTTAAAAGTTGACCAATGAAATGAATTTACAAAACAGTTTAAGAAGTGGTGACATTTTGCATTATGAATGACCCGACTTCTAGCCACCAGGTACTCTTTAAACAGTTTTCCTTATCAGAGGCCCTCCTGTGCTGGTGAGCCAGCATCTGAGTTAGGTTCCAGCACCTAAAGAGCTGGGAGGGCTGAGAATTCTTAGCATACATTCAGACTTTTTTTCTGCACAATAAGTCCATCTGTCACTTGCATTCCACTTTCTTTGTTATACAGAAAGAGTCTGACCCTTTAATCCAAAAGTTCTTTTTACATTGTGACTGCTGTGGGAAGGCAATTTCTCTACACACAAGAGGCTGCGTTTTGGATGTGATGTATGCTATTTGATGACTGAAAATGAAAATGAACTGTAAATGCTCCTAGAGTATATTCTTCTGCTAAACAAAATTAAACTTTAAAAAATCTAATAGTAACACACCCCTGCTTGGGACCCTAGCTATATGCATTTTATGTGACCTTGCCATGCTCTGGTGAACATACTATTTCTATGTCTAGCACATGTTGATTTCCTATTAAAGAAAACTTTGAACTGTGTCTATTTTGCTTTTTATTCTGTTTTGATGTTCTTCTATAAATAGCTTGGACTGGATCCCTGATTCCATAGACAGGATCTGAGCCACTGGGGATGAGGGGTAGCAGTTGTTGGAAACATATTATACAGCACCTATTTTTTCCCTGCAATATCATCCACTTATTCCCTTTCTTCCCTTCAGATTTTAATGTTAACAAGGAAGAATAAAACAAATAATCCTTTTGTCACCACTACTAAAAATGAGACTCTTTATGGAAATGCTTATATGTTGGGGGAGAGGCTATAAAGTGGCACATGGTGGCAGCAACTATACAGAAATGAACTTTATATACAAACTGGAAAGGAATATGCAAAAGTGAAAGCAATTGTGCTAAAATGGTGGCACTATACTGCCTTTTGTCTGATTTTCTGAAATAAGTAAAAAGAACAAACTGCAAACGAAGGTGTAATATGAATCTACTTGTGTAAAAAGATGTATATATGTTATCAATATGTATGGAAAATTTCATTTAAAGAGTTCACATGAAATCTAACGGTGGCTCTTTGGGGAGAGAGCGACTTAGAGGTTGAGACAAGAGGCAGAGAAAGACTTTTTACCTTTCTATTCCTGCGAGAATTCTGTATGTCCTATCCTCCAAATTAAGAAACAGACGAAAATGAAAGACTTCAGATCGAAAGAAGCCATCCCAACAAGTACCGAAAGTCTGGGTTACGTCAGTCAGGAATCTAGCTGTTTCACAACTGTTCTAAGACCAGCCAGTTGACATGCTGGATTGTGTTTTAAGAACTGGCTATTAAAAAGGAGGTAGCTTTAAGCAACTACAGTTGTTCCCAGCCTCCCATTACTGCCAGGCATCTTAGCAGACACCTGTAGGGATGTGGGTCCAACAAGGCTAGGTGTGCTAGGAGTGAGGTGGAATTGGGCTTCCAAAGGTTTAAAAATATTTAATGAGGAAGTTGGAGATATCATATTTGGAGGTTTCTAACTGATAATATCTCCAACTTCTTCCTCATTAAATGTTTTTTAAAAAGTGCCCCTATTGACATTAAGAACCATACTTTTTTTTTCATAATTAGATTTGCAAACAAGTCTATTAGCTCAGGACATCTGGAAAACAGTAAATAAAATGAATACTTCCTAGAATAGCACAGGACAGCCCCCTTAATTCTGATATTTCCATTCATAAGAGGACCACTTCTTCATAAATGGATGAAAGGAGTACCACTGACATAGCTAGTATTGTTGGTCCATTAATGACTCCTTAAATATGTCCAAGACCTAGTCCCTGGAACCCGTATGTTATTTTACATGGCAGAAAGGGACTTGGCAAATGCTTTTAAAGTTATGGACCTGACACGGACACATTATCCTGGATTATGTGGGTGGGCCCTTAAAGGAAAGAAGGCAGAAGAGACTGTGAGGGAGACTTGGCCCAAGAAAACGCAGGAAAGGTGAGGCCGATAGAAAGAATCTATGTGCCGGCCAGGCGCGGTGGCCTGTAATCATGCCTGTAATCCCAGCACTTTGGGAGGCTGAGGTGGGCGGATCATGAGGTCAAGAGATTGAGACCATCCTGGCCAACATGGTGAAACCCCATCTCTACTAAAAATACAAAAAAAAAAAAAAAAAAAAAAAAAAAATTCCTGAGTATGGTGGTGCATACCTGTAATCCCAGCTATCAGGAGGCTAAGATAGGAGAATCACTTGAACCCAGGAGGCACAGGTTGCAGTGAGCTGAGATCGTGCCATTGCACTCCAGCCTGGGCAACAAGAGCAAAACTCCATCTCGGGAAAAAAAAAAAAGGAAAAAAGAGATCTATGTGCTGCTGCTAGCTCTGAAGATGGAAGGGACCAGAGCAAGAGAAGAACGCAGTCCCTCTGACAGCCAGCAAGGAAACAGGGACCTCAGTCCTATAGCTGCATGGAAATGAAGTCAGCCAACAACCTGCACAAGCCTGACACGGGTTCTTCCTCAGATCTCCAGGTAAACACCCTAACAGGCCCCGGCCGACACCTTGATTTTAGCTTGGCGATATCTGTGTTGGACTTCAGACCTACAGAAGAGATAATAAATTTGTGTTGTCTTAAGTTGGTAAATTTGTGGTTGTGATAGAAAACTAAGGTAGTATAAGATGGAAGGACGAAAAAGATAACATCTAATTCTTCCGGAGACATCAGAGATACACTGTACTAGCAATTTCTTAAGTATGAGGTAGGTAATCCTGGAAATTAGCTTGGGCAAAAGTTGCAAAGGGCCCTGTCTGCAAGGAGGCTTCCTGCATGTACCCAGTGTCACACCTCTGTCTCTCTTGTCAGCCTGGTGGGCCCATATTCCCTCTCACTGCAGGCTGCAGTGCTGAGCTGTGTGCCAGAGTGGGTCAGTTCATTCTCTTTCTCACCAGGGTTTCTTACATTCCTGGCTAGCTGGGAAATGGTCAAGAGTATTCCATGCCATCTCAGCATAGAAGCCTCGTTTTCTTGGTCCTGTATTTTAACCTTCCCCAACACTGAAATTCTTTCCTTGAGTGTGTCTTTGAAAATCACCAAATCGGGCTGGGATAGAGAAAACAATGATTAGGGCTTCTGTTGTAGAGGCAGGTGATCAATTTATTTATTTAGGTGGGAAAAACTAAATGACTTTAGGGGCTTTTTACAAAGACCTTTAGCACTTAAAAGAAATTACCTGCAGAAGACTGAAGCTGGACTGCTTCCTTAAACCATATACAAAAATCAACTCAAGATGGATTAAAGACTTAAATGCAAAACCCAAAACTATAAAAACCCTGGAAGACAACCTTGGCAATACCATCCTGGACATAGGAACAAGTAAAGATTTCATGACAAAGATACCAAAAGCAATGGCAACAAAAGCAAAAATTGACAAGTGAGATCTAATTAAACTTAAGAGTTTCTCCACAGCAAAAGAAACCGAACAGAGTAAACAGACAGCCTACAGAATGGGAGAAAATACTTGCAAACTATGCATCTGACAAAGGTCTAATATCCAGCATCTACAAGGAACTTAAATTTACAAGAGAAAAACACCGCCCCCCCCCCCTTTAAAGAGTGGGCAAAGGACACGAACAAATACTTCTCAAAAGAAGACATGTGTGGCCAACAACCACATGCAGAATAGCTCAATATCACTCATCATTAGAGAAATACAAATCAAAACCACAATGAGATACCATCTCACGCCAGTCAGGATGGCTATTATTAAAAAGTCAAAAACTATCAGATGCTGGCATGGTTGTAGAGAAAAGGGAACACTCATACCTTGTTGGTGGGAGTGTATATTAGTTGGAAAGCAGTAATGAAGATTCCTCAAAGAGTTAAAAGGTAGCAAACTGCCATTTGACCCAGCAATCCCGTTACTGGGTATATACGCAGAGGAATATAAATCTTCCTGCCATAAAGACATGCATGCAAATGTTCATTGCAGCACTATTCACAATAGCAAAAACACAAATCAACCTAAATGCCCATCAATGACAGATTGGATAAAGAAAATATGAGATATATATATATATATACACATACACATACATATGCCATGGAATACTATGCAGCCATAAAAAAGAATGAGATCATGTCTTTTGCAGGAACATGGATGGAGATGGAGGCCAGTATCCTTAGCAAATTAAAACAGGAACAGAAAACCAAATATTGTATGTTCTCACTTCTAAGTGAGAGCTAAATGATAATATCTTATGAATACAAAGAAGGAAACAACAGACACTGGGGTCTACTTGAGTGGGGAGGGTGGGAGGAGAGAGAGAAGCAGAAGAGATAACTATTGGGTACCAGGCTCAGTATCTGGACAATGAAATAATGTGTACAATACACCCCTGTGACACGTGTTTACCTATGTAACAAACCTTCACATGTACCCCCAAACCTAAAAGTTAAAAAAAATGCAAACAGTTAAAAGAAAATTATCAAAGCTAATCAGATATCCTCCATTATTATCTCTAATCCTTAGTTCTACCTATAAATGAAACACTTTTTTCCAATAGTAAATATTTCTTTATATATACAAAAATATCTTACCAGGAGTATGTAATCTCACAGATTAGACATTTCAATAATTTTTGTTTTGGACAGCACTTGGAAATATGTGAAAAGATTTATAGGGACAGTTTCTGAAAAATCAATACTTAATTGTACTGCAGGAAAATTTTATTTATACAACAACAACAATAATGTTTCTTTTATACAGAAACTAATAATACAATTACCTGGAAAGCAGCAGCAATTAATTTTTCTTTTTAAACTTCTTAATCAGAAACTTAAGCAGCTTGTTCAGCTTTGATTTTCAGATTGCTAACAAGCATTCTGCCCTCCATTTTTTTTTTTTTTTTTAAAGATTCTCTTCTACAGTTACTTCGAAGACTAGAGGTTTAAAAAAGCATGCGTCTGTGTTCAAAGAAAAGATTTACCAAAACGAACTGGGATGGGGGGAAAAGGAAGAATAAAAAATTCCCACAGCAAGGTTTTCACATCAAATACTCACCATAAGCTCTAACAGAGCTCAACATTACATGGAGAAATTGCACTTGTTGCTGAATACTAGTGCTCATTCTTCTACAACAGAGTCCAATATATCACTTCTTTAAAAAAAAAAAAAATCTGTTACTGAAGAGACAGAAGTCAGTCAGCAATTCTTTTTAAGAGGATACAGAGACGTAAGAAATATTTATATTGTATTTCAAATACAGATTAGCTAAGCTATGCCTGAAATCTGGTTCTACCTGAAAAGATGGAGGCATTTCTCATTTGGACCATGTTTACCAGGACAAGTTTCATGTCTTTAAAGCAATGTTACTTACACTACTGTCCACCTCTCCTATTTAAGAATAAGATGAAAACCACACATTTTAAATGGTAATGACTTCTGGTTTAATGTTGGTAATTTACAGCTGATGAGTTTTTACATACATCAGATGAGTATACTTTTTTCCTGTTTAAGTTAATTAATTAGGCTTCCTCCAAGCT